ACTAATAGTTTCTTCTTCTTTTTCTATTTGTTTTTGTTTTTTCTCGTGCAAGAAAATACCATCTTCTCCATATTGTTGATGATGTATATTCTTTAACATTGATTTTCTTTATTTCTTCTACTTCTTGTGGTATAAATATTTTAATTTCTTCTTCAAAGAGTCTTTTCCAATATTCTTGGTTTTGTATTTCAATCATTTCTTTTCTTTGATTTTTGTTTTGTTTCTTATTTTGATATTGTTTATATCTTCTTTGTGTGTTATTATGGGATTTATTTCTATTATATTGATATTATTGTTTATTTCTATTGAAATAATTATTAAAGTGTTTATGACGATGATTATGAATGAAGTGATGAGTGAAATGATTTGTATCATCTATGTTGTGATAATTATTGTTATAATTATTATTGTAATGATTAGTGTGATTATTCATGTATTTCTGTCAATACAGATAATACCTATTTTCACTCATTCTTCTATCATTTATATTTCTTGGTTGATATGAATTTCTTCTTCTTTGATTATTTGTTTTTCTATATTTTTTGTGGTGTCTCATGTAATGCATCTTTTTGTTTGATGTTGTTGTAATAACAAATAAATGACAAACAAATAAAGAAAATAAATAAGAAAGAATGTTTTATTGTTGTATTTTCAAATTAATTGATAATTAATATTAATAAATTAATGAAATGAACATTAATGAGAATAATTCAATTTACATAAAATGAAATAAAAAGAATGATAAATAATTAATATTTCAATGAATAAAATACTGTTTAACATTAATATTTTATATATTAAGTATTTCATTTATTATTCATTCTATTGAAATTATTGTTTATATAAAATATAAACTATCATATTTTATATTAATTTATTGAAAATAAATTTAAATAAAAATTTATTTATTTTATTTAATGTTTTTAATTATTTCATCAAATTATATTGTAGAAATATAATCATATCGTCTTTCTAATGATGTTCCATAATTATACTCATTAATTATTATTTTAATTATTTCTTCTTTATGATGAATATTGATGACAAATTATTTTCTAGTTCTTTTTTTATCAACAAATTCAATATCTTCTTTTACAAACATAAATATTTTTGGTAATTTTGTTTTCTATTTATTTCTTTCACTTCTTTCTTGTTCTTCCTCTTGTTGATTTTTTTATGAAGAATAATTTATTTAGTTTTAGTTCTTTCAATTTCCAAATCACAATAATTAGTTTCTTCTATATATTTCATTCTTTTATTTCTTTTCTTTATTTCACTTATTTGATTTATTTGGTTATTCTTTTCTTGTTTAATGTTTTATTCTTTTCTATATTTTTCATCGTTAATGCTATGATAAGCATTATCTCTTTTTCAACTTCTTCATTATTCGGTGTTAATATTTTTCCTTGTCAATATCCTTACATTTTCATTTTATCTTTGTGCATTATCATAACAAGATGAACTTTTTGATTCATTAAATTATATTGGAAATTGATTATTTTCTAGTTATTTTATTGACAAATTCCAACAATTTTTTGTTATTATTTATCTATTTTTATTTTCTTCTTTTCTTCATGAACTTCTTTATGAATATAATATTAACATTTAATCAACATGATAAAAACATATCTCTAAATGCCTGATATTGGAAAATAATATTCTATAATATTTTATAAAAGCCTTGATTAAAATTCAAAACAATATTAATTATTTAAAATTCTTTTTATTCTTTTTTTAATATAATCAACTATTTATTCATATATATATTCTTTTCATTCTTCATTGTCTTGTAACACATACATATTAATAATAAATATATCATTCATCACTTTCTCATTATGAACATTTTGTTTCTGTGGTTTTTGGTTTTGCGTTATTATTTTTCTTTTAAAACATTCTTCTTCATTTTGAATTTACAAAATATACTTTTCAATCAGTTGTATTTCAATTGACAAATAATTTAATTTGTTTAATACTCATTAATTGTATTTAGTTGTTAGTTGTTTAAAAGTAAGTAAACATGACAATTATTTATTTATCAATTTGATGAATTGAAGTTATTTATTATTAAAAAACATTTCATTTTCATTTGAAATAAATAACTACAATTCTACATTTTTTTAAATATTCTTCACAACATATTTTATTTAAATGAAAAACAACAAAATAAATTTAAAAATAAAATATTTTATCGAATGTTACATAACCATTATTGTTGTTGTTTTTATTTAATTTTACATAAAAAATGTATTTTTGAAATAAAAGGAAATAGAAAATATTTAAAAATAAACGAATAAATTTATCGATAATTTAACATGACAGTTTGTTTTTGTTTATTAGTTTGAAATACAAACATCATTAAATAAAAATAAATTTGTAATGTTATGGTTGAATAAAAACGATTAAATAATTTTACATAATTTTTAAAATATATTTATTATTATAATTTTTAATTTCCATTAAACAATTATTTATTTAGTCACAATGATTATATTTTTATTCATGAATTATCAGTTAGAATGAATGATGATAATGATGTTAAATAATCAAAATAAAAGAATGAAATATGATTAAATTATTTATTATTTCATCTTCAATAAACAAAAATATTATCAATTTTAATATTTTGTCATATTAAATATTTTAATAACTAAAACATTGATTATTTCTATTATGTTATTTAATGTAATTTATTTTGATTTTTTATTTGATTTCTTTTATTTATTGTGTATTTATAATAATTATTTCATTTATTTTCTCTTTTATTTCTTATTCTTATTTTATTATCTTATTTTTATTTATCATTTATTATCTTTATTAATTTAATTGATTGAAGTGGTGTTGATAAAACAATGAATTAGAAATAAAACAGTCATTAAATAAAAATAAGATAAATAAATGATATTATTTATTTTCTATTATTCTTTATTTAAATGAGAATAATCATTTCTTTATACTTTATTATTGTTTATTCTTCTTTTATTATTTGGTTTTGAATTAATGAGAATGTTGATTTTCTATTCATTATTCTTTTATTTAAATTAATTTGATTTCATCATTTTAATTATTTTCATTCAATTAGTCTTTCTTTATTTCTTATATTATTATTTATAATTTCATTTATTATTATTATCATCATTTATATCATTTTATTTTCTCATTATTATTTCTTATTATTTGATTTCATTCTTTCTATTATTATTTATTATATTTCTTATTAAATTACTTCATCATAATCAATTATTATTTGATTTTTCATTATTTGATTTTGTATTAATATTTGTGTGTTGTTTCTGATTTTCATTCTTCATTTCTCATTCATTTTCATTTAATAAAATAGAAGAATAAAAATAATGAAAGAAGATAAATAAAATAAGAATAAAATAAGATAAAATCAATGATATTGTTATTATATTATTATGTTATTTTAGTTTTGATTTTATATTATTATTTTATTTTTATCTTTTATAAACATCATTCATTTCTTCTTTTTGTCATTTCCTCTTTTCTAAACATCACTCAATTTATTCTATTTCTTTCCATTTCATTCTATTTTCTTTATTCTTGTTGTTATTTTATTTATTTCTTCTTTTATCATTTCTCATTTCTTGTTTATTCATGTTTGTTGTATATTTTATTATTATTATTTATTTTATGTTGTGTTATTCTTATTTATCTTTCTTATTATGTTTTGTTTATTATTGTTTAAATAGAAAATAAGAATGAATAAAATAAAGAATAAGAAATAATAACATAAATATGTTGATGTATTTTATCATTTCTTTATTTGTTTCTTATTATTATTTCTATTACCTTATTCATTTGATTCATAATGAATTAATTCAATGAAATAATACAAATAAATTGT